AAAAGGGAGATGGTTAACACACGACCGAAATACAAAAACGTTTTTGCCGCGTGATCGCAAGCAACATTAGTCTGGTCAGTTTAATATCTGGTCCGTGGTCCATCGGGGAGGGGGTCAAAGAGGTAAGCTTTTTTACTTTTGTTTCTTTTTTCTTGTTAAAAAACAAAAATTAAGCTTGCTTACTCGATCCCTGCCGCGTTGCCTCCGCTTTGTAAATAAAGGATACACGCTCAGAATACAAACGTCAAAAAAAGACAAACACAGAAAGACTAAAACCCTAACGCAAACACGAAGTAGATACCGATTATCATCACTCGCCATTCAGGATGAATGCAAACTTCCACCTTTTACGTGTAAGGTACATTCGCCATCCAAAACATTTCGACAGTGTTGCAGCGAGGGCCAATTTCGACTGCAACCCCAAATCCCCCAAAGGAATAGATACCTTTGAACGAGATCATCCCAGAATACTCATGTCGGCGGACAAAGTCCAGAAAAATTCGGACATCCTCCTCAACTTTGTCCGACAAAGTCCAGAAAAATTTTGCGGCAAGAGTCCAGAAAAATGGCAAGAATCCAGAAAATTTCGGACAGAGCCCATAAAATTTCGGACAGAGTCCAGAAAAATTGCGCCAAGAACCCAGAAATTTTCGGACAGGGTCCATTAAAAAAAACAAAAATCCGGACAGAGTCCAGGAAATTTCGGACAGAGTCCATTAAAAAACAAAAACAAAAAAAAAGGCAGTCCATTGAAAAAGCCGCACAGAGTCCAGAAAATTTCGGACAGAGTCCATTATAAAAAATAAAAATAAAAACGACGGACAGAGTCCATTAAAAAAAAAAAAAAAAAAACGGACAGAATCCATTGACAAAGCCGGACAGAGTCCGGGAAATTTCGGACACAGTCCATTAAAAAAAACAACGGACACAGTCCATTGAAAAAACCGGACAGAGTCCAGGAAATTTCGGACAGAGTCCATTTAAAAAAAAAAAAACAAAACGGACAGAGTCCATTGAAAAATCCGGACAGAGTCCAGGAAATCTCGGACAGAGTCCATTAAAAACAAATCCGGACCGAGTCCAGAATAATTCGGGCCAGAGTGCAGAAACTTTTGAACGGGGTCCAGGAAAAATGCGGCAAGATAGTTTCTCTCCTGGAAAAGTGGAAGTGTGCCAGAAAAAGACACAAACGGACACAAACACCAGCAGTTAGAAAAATACCTTGGAACGGATTGAGGTGCACTCAGCCTCGCACTGTTCTGAATGATTTTGATCGCCATTACAGCTTGATTCACACCATTAATTAAACCCATCAAGACATTTTACAGCGAACCAAAGATTTTAAACCACAGTCAGTCAATCTCTAACATTTCAACATTCAGTGCATTCCACGTGAAATGGACGGGGTAAGGTCAAATTTTCACTCGGCAAAAAAAAAAAAAAAAAAAAAAAAAAAATCACTTGGAGCCACGAGCGTCCATTATGCTTCTTCCTACTTGCAAATCGATCTATACACGAAGGAATCGACCAAACCATGTACTCAACCTTCTCTAACTAACGCACCGTAGATCATCATTCCCATCCCAAATTGCCATCAACAACAATCCTCTCTCTCTCTCTCTCTCTCTCTCTCTGAGAGATACGCAGCTTCATAACGACGCTAAATTCTGAGTCTCCTCGGTATTCCTCCTCCTCCTCCCTTCACGAACACCTAATCCGCTAATCCGCACCTCGATAGAACCCCGCTTCCACAGACCTCGATTCTCGCCCTATATTTTCCTTGCCAATAATGAATCTACATCGAATCATCGAATTAATCCATCGTCATTTGTCTTCTCCTTTTTAAAAATAGGATAAACTGATCAGAACAGATAGTACACTTGATCTTAGGATTCTTAGCCAAAAGGCCGATAAAGGTATATCGAGCTTTCTCCTTTTCGGTTTAGGGTTTCAACATGATCAGTTCACAGAGTCTTCAGACGCCCTACTCCCGCCACTTCGGCGCCACTTTTTCAGCAACCCTTCTTCTCTCATTCTCCTCCGATACCCCCTATTAAGGGGCTCAAAATCGGCGCGCATTTGACAGCCATTTCCTCCTCTTAACCACTTACTGATTCAAAATCATGTGGCCTGCAGACGAATGCGACCAACTGCCGAAGGGGTCGTTTTCGTTATTAATCCCTGGATGTTGTCGACAAGAACCTTAACGAGGGCGCTTGGCGCGCCTGCCGTCCCCTCCCCAATCCCCTTCTTTCCTTTTCTTTTTTTTTTTTTTTTTTAGATCAACGAATCCTGACTGCCAAGGGGGTCTGGGGTTTTTTTTTTTTTTTTTTTCTAGATGAACGAATCCCGACCGCCAAGGGGGTCTGCATTATCACCAAAGAGACCCCCTGGCCGCTCAGTTGGTACACCCCTCAACTGCTGAAATACAGCCCCGTGTTCGACCCCCAGCAGAGGAAGCAGATGAGTGAAAAGCTACAATTCTGAACGACCTACCTTCTTCCACCCCCCCAATACAACGTACGGTCATTATAGCTGTACCTAGACTGAAAGATGCCTCAAATACAGCTGTAATGACCGTACGTTGTATTCGGGGGAAGAAGGTAGGGTCGATGATGATAGATGATATCTCATCAAGGCCGCCGCCCGCTCTATACGGAAAGAAAAAGAGAAAGAAAACATCACCGAAGAGGACGGCGAATCATGGTCCACAGCGGCATGCCACGTGGCAGAGGAAAACGACGAGGTGGTCCACAGCGGCATGCCACGTGGCAGAGGAAAACGACGAGGTGGTCCACGTACAATCGGCTTAAATACCTGACACAGATGATGTGTTAGAAAACGACAAAAAGGGCAAAACCGCAAAGTGGTCAGTTCGACCTCGGATTGAACTAGAGCTTCTGCTTTCGCCAGCCAAAAAAAATAATAAAAATAATAATAAACCCTAAACAAGCAGACACACAAAGGAAATACGTAAATTACACGTGTATGTATGTCGTTCGTCGCATATCGGATCAAATCAAATCGAATCGAATCGAATCAAATCAAAACCGTCTGGTGATGAAACAAAACCCTAAAATGAACAAAATTTCCCGCAAACGTCCATTCGAAACAAAGGTCAAATTCGCAAATTCGCATCCGAGATCCGTTTTTTTTTCCCTCCTTTCAGAGACCCAAAAAAATCAATCAGGAGTAGCTAGGCCGCCATTAATCTCCTGAAAGCGGAGGCTCACTCGACCTGTGTGCTTGAGGAACTTCTCCACGCATCTCTTCACGCAGGTCTCCTCTGTTTTGTCCAACGTCTTCCTCCTAAAACTATCCACGCAATTGTTGAAACATCGTTCGACCAAAGTGTTATACAGACGTAGACTGTCTCTCATCTGCACTGTTTCAAGCATCTTGTCCATGGCAGCCTTGTCTTCATCTGACAGAGAAGCCAGCATGGAAGGGTCCATGACGGCGATCGTCCTGGTGCGCCCTGCCGCCCTGCCTTCTCAGGGATGCCTCGCGAAACCCGGGCCGGTACTCTTCGACCGCTTTCAGTTCGCCGAGACCGCTGCTATCTGCCCCAAACGAGCCTCCCTTTCTGACCACAAAAACAAACGAGGAAGGGGGGCATTTCTCAATTTATGCGTGTCATCCTTGCTTAGGGGCCATGGTAATCTTCTATGGGCCTCGCTGCACTAACTACACAGCACTGAGGACCGCGCTACACGTGGGGACGCAGCAAGGACAACTTGTCGGGGAAGGACGGCAGATATGGCGAAAAAAGACCAACCAATTCAATTACCTGTCAAATCTGGACAGGACGGCCTTGCAGGCCTTTTTTTATTGTCGTTATAGTATTACGGGGAAGCCCGTAGCAGCCACATCCGTGCTCAAGCCTCCAACGAGAGAACATCCGGGACCTGCACCCACCAGCACCTGCACCCACCAGCAGGTGCGATACCAGCAGGTGCGATACCTGTTACAACAGGTGGGCTATACCGGTCAGCCGGTAGCATCAGGACCAAGCTTCTTCGATGGGCCAGTCACTGTGCCTCCCCTCCGGTCCCCTCCCCCTCTGAACATCAGCAGTCTCTGCTCAATGCCACTCGGCGGGACCAACGGCATATCTCTAGGTGGCGGGCCCAAGCTTGCCCGGGAAGGTGCATGAGGCCAACGGGGATTGAACCCAAGATCTCCTGAAGCCACTTGCGTGCCTTACCAACTGAGCTAGGCTGCTGAATGGCCAACCAATTCAATTACCTGTCAAATCTGTACAGGACCAAAACAAAAAAAAAAGGGCAAATTTGTTTGGCGCCCCTGTATTTGCCATTATTTTTGCGCCACTCCGATAGCCGATTTACCCTGTCGCCCCCCTGGGCCTGAAAATCTTTTCGGCACGCCCCTGTAGGTAGTGGGCGCAACTTTCCAGGACGCCCTCGCTCAACTGGCGGTCCCATTCCATCGGGCTCCGCACCATTTGCCCTCGTAAGGGACACCCATCTTCCTGTGCTGCCCCTGTAGCAGTGAGGCGTTGGAAATTTGACTTCAATTTTTCGAACCCTGTGGCTGTTGACGCTCCGCCGCTATTTTTCTTGACGCACCGCCGCTCGTCAACCTCCTGTCCTCTCCGTTTTCACTCGCCGTCTAGCATCGCAAGGTGAGTGTCGCCCACCCTCTTCGTTTTCGCTCGTCGCTGTTCCTCTGCTCTGTGTTCATGTCATTCTCTTCCCTGCCAGTTTGTGTGTGTGTGTGTGTGTGTGTGTGTGTGTGTGTGTGTGTGGCACGCACACAGAGAGAGTGAGTGAGAGAGAGAGAGAGAGAGAGAGAGAGAGAGAGAGAGAGAGAGAGAGAGAGAGAGAGAATAGATAAGTCTCCAGCCTCGCGGCTGACCTCATGCTACTTCCATCGATAGGATGAGCAAATCGAATGAATCTACCGCTAGAACATAGTATACACTGCCACACTTGTTTGTGTGTGTGTATGTGTGTGTGTGTAAGTGTGTGTGTGTGTGTGTGTGTGTGTGTGT